TACTTCCTAAATAAATGATAATACATAGAGAAAGCCAACTTTATTGGCCAGGTGAAATTCACTCAAATAATCATTTATTTCTTTTCATTATTACGCATTATTGGTGGAATTTTAAACTTACAGGTGAATCGTACTAGCTCGTTGTATTCTTGAATACAATGGTTTCAAATTAAAGTTATCCCGATCCGACAACTTATGGCAACTTGCACCACGTGCACGTGTTCCAGGGTCTTTACAATGTGTCTGCTTCTTGATGGTAACAGTTCTGTGTAAGACTTAGTTGTCTTCAGTTGCCAATCTGTAAATAACGAATAAGACAGAAAACTAAAAGTAAACTAAGACAAAGTAAGACGCAAAATGAAACGTTTTACCCCGAGATAAAACATTAAGACCTCGAACTCGAGGTTTCGTTCGGTTTCAAATTGGCGAGGGGCAACTAGCGAAATCAACACGGAGGTGCACTCCTGAACGAGCATGAAATTATCAAAATGAAAAGAAAGTTAACAGAAAACTATAATGTATAGCCCAGTCTCTGTTTCAGCCAGTCAGGGCTCGAAAATTTTTAAATTCCAATTAGATCTGGGCATGAAAACCTGTAGGAAAACCAATGGAAGAGGCAGCTTAGTCGAGTAGTTAGAGCGCTGGACTTGAAATCCGGCCGAGGTTGCAGGTTTAAGTCCCGCTCTGCTCTGACCACTAAGCTGGAGTTGTTTCTCGGTAGACCCTAGTTTAACTCATCGGTCATGCTTGTAAATAGCCAACTGGTCTGCTTCCCGCCAGTTGGGATTTTTAAGCCTATTATGTTTAGTTGATATATTTGTTTCTTTCAGTTTAAATGGCATGCCTGTGACCTAGCTAGGTGCAGCTAAGTGCATTGACCACTATAAAGATCTATAAACAACAACATTTGAACAATTTTTTTTATTTGCACAATAGCGCCTTATCAGTTTTCGCCTCATCAAATGTTAAAATAATCCCGGTATTTTTATGATTACCTTTAACAATTATATAATGCCCTTATCTCTTTGATATCATTCCCTGTCAAAGTTCCTCTCAGTTGTCCGCCAAGTTTCTTCCACGCTTTTCCTCTGGCGATGATGGTAGGTCTCTTACCATCAACTGAATACAAATATCTGTCGTAATGCATAATGGAGTCATAGTCGTAAGGTAGATTCAGCGTATCCAACTTGCCATGTTCGTATTTAAGGAAATTATTCTCTTTCCCTTTAAAAAGAAAAATATATATCAATCAAACGTATAACGGTCTTCGACTTTCGGATTTCGCTGCCGTTTTCTATCGCTACGTTTTGAAACCTGATGTGTTGCATGGCAAAAAATGGATACCGGGACTTCCCGAAGGACAGGTTATTACCGCGTACCGGGCTACGGGGATGGGGAGGCTCCACACGAAAGGGATAACTTTTTTAGGCTTCATGTGTATAAAAGGGTAGGGATTTCACAAGTTGAGGCATATGGAAGGGTAAGAAAATCAGTCATTTAGTTATTTAAAAGGGCCTTTAATTAATATCTTTCGAACAGACGCGCCTTACGGCTGTATCATTTAATTTATAATGCATGAAAATGATGAAAAGATTTCCCTTTTCGGTGATTTATTCATGATACGGGCTGGTTCAGTATGAAATCATGTGAAAGAAGTACCTTTTCCAATTAAAGGTATATGAAGGGGCTACTATTTTTGTCAAATCTTTCAAAACGGTATACAAAAGGGTAAGGGGATAGACCTTGAGTGGAGCCTTCCCACATAATACTTTGTACCCCTGCCCCCACCAGGCAACAAACAAACTTTGACTACAGCTATACCTGATGANCCCCCCCCTTAACACTTTGAAGGGTACCCACCCTTCCTCCCCCCCACTTATTACCTGGTTCGATGTTGCTCCATAGAACTTCCACGTACTTATCTCTGTCCATTCTGCTTTGCTCATGCCAGATCCCTGTTTTAATTAGAAAAAAGGGTAAATATTTGTCAACCATGTCGTTGATAGAAACAGATCTGGCTTATGAACCAACAAACACAGCGTGCCTGCCAACGGACATGAATTAAACTCTACATTACAGGTCCGTGGCTAGTAACAGGCTGCCTCGGTCATTATCTATCATCTTTGCTGTTTATCGCCATCATTAACACCCTAAGTACCAAGAAAGAAAATTAGACCATGGACATGCCTCAGTCATAATTTTTTTTTCTAGTTACGGCCTTGCATTAAAGAGAAGGATCTATTCTCTCAGATTCGACGTTTCTGAGATAACATGCTTATATAAGATATGTTTCTCGAACCTCCCTGTCTACTATCAAAACTCTTCTGTAAACCATTGTTTGCAGCCGTTTTCTGGAATGCAAAAAAAAAAAAAAATGTCGAATAACACTGTCACTACTACCGTTGGTAAATATTGTACTTACCGATTGAGTGCATGAGCTCATGCATAATGACACCAACGTACCCACATCCACTCCCTAGGGAGAGTAATTGAGCGCCACCTACCCGGCCCATCTTTGAAAAGCATCTAAAGGCATTTTTAAGACAAAAATGAATACTCAAATTTACTTTTTATCTTTCTTTAAAAATGATCTTATTCCTGAACGATGTCCATGACTGCGTATTCCGGGTTTTATAGTTAAAAATACAAACATGGTATTTTTATTTTAACCTCCAAGACTGAAAGTATATGAAATAACCCTCCCAAAGAAGTTCACTTATTGCTATGCTTCGAACAAATGGGTCACACATTGAAAGCGTATTTTTATTCTCAACGCTACATTCTTTGAACGTTGCTCTCTTATCATTGATAAAATTCGATAAAATTGAAAAGGAAGATGTAACAAAGCTGGAAATACGTAATCATGGCAAGAGAATACGACTATTTCCTAACCCATTTCCTTTGTGCATCTTGATGTAATCTCCTCCATAAGACAAGCCAACCTCACGAAAAGTCAAGCACGTCTTAACTTCCAGTCTATTGATTGCGTCATTGATTTTTGGGCGCAAATGTTCTGCAAGAAAATTAACGCCCAAGGAATTAAGGTTTGCATTTTCGTTAAGTTTAGTTAAGTTATGAAGCCTAACTCATCAGTGCTGGTGAACTAACTCCAGAAGCGTATTCAATTTCTTTAGCTTCAACAATTTACCTTGAACACAATGATATGTAAGTGTCTTACTCACATCTAAGAATGACCCAGCAAGTACGGAGTTTAAGTTCCACTCCTAAATATTTATTTTGTTTTGTGGTGTTTATTCATGGTGCATTTCTCCTTTGCGCGGGATCTCCTCCGATTTTTTTTCTCTTTGGACTCATTCCTGAAGAACGGCATCTGATTATTGACTTCATTAGGAGACCTTGAAGCTTACGCCCGGTCGTCCACACTACACCGAAGAAATTTAAAAACGCAACAATCACTGGTCGTTTTATAATTTCGTTTGAGGAAATCTCGGCCAGGAAAATCACGTCGTTTTCCTGATCCTATCGTGTTCGAAAAGGTCCGTTTTAAATTGTTTTCCGTCCACACGAAAACTCAAAGCCTGCGTTTTCAAATTCCTCCGGTTTGAAGAGCGTTTTCGAAAAGCTCCGTTTTCGTGACGGATTACTCTGGACCGTAAGCCTAACCGAAGAAATAAAGCTGTATGCCTTTTTAAATTCCTCCGGCGCAGTGTGAACGGAGTCTGGAGCAAACCACGACGTCAAAGAGCACCACCAAACGAAAGGTTTAATGAGCAAAACAATGGCTGTACAAGTGTGTTTAGTAAACTTTTAATATGTACATTTCATAGCCGTCCTCTGCAAAACAAGGCGTTGTCCTCGGCGTCGACGTCGTCTTTGTTAAGATCCCTATATTTACATCTCGGATGCTGGACAGTCGATACACTTGTTTAACGTGGGGTCTGTCATCCTACAGCTGTAAGTGGGTGCTTTGTGTTTTGCTCATGTTTTATCCCAAGACCAGTCGAACGCAGATGAGAGTATCGTGTAAAAACTGTAAAAAATCACATAAATTGCACCTCTTTGCCAAGGTTCTTTTTTATTTAGCGAATAAGTTGTCAAGTGTTTCGGTAGGAAGTTTCTCCCTCCTGCTGAAACAATCTCGTTTACGTTACCTCCACGTTACTTCATCTTCCCCATTACTACACGGAAATCGTTTGTATCTTCTTCTTCAGTATAGCTTAAGGCTTTGAACACTTAAAGGCCATCGTCATTAATAACGTCCTTGAACATGACGAGTTGATACTCGGGGCTTTCCCGCTGCAAACCAAGCAATTATCACAGTATTTCTCTTTCCATAGCTTCCAGTCCTCGGAGATCTCGCCACATAATTGACCTCAAATCTAAATGTTGCGGAGACAATGATATCTGGTGGAATAACACTGAAAATTGTGATGCTTTAGCCGGCGAGGAACCGGAAGTTGTTTTCGCTCGTAGACATTCGTAGAAGGTAGACGTCGTTGACGAACTTGAACTACTCTTTCGCTGCAACGTGTAATATTAGATGGCTGAGAGAACCTTAAACGAACGTCATCAATCAAGGCTTAAGCTGGCTACTGTAACTCAAGATACACAAGGTGAACGTGTATTTCAATACATAACTGCATGTATAGCATAAATTACAAAGCCGCTACAGAACATAAGCGTGCATATAAAGAATGTTTGGCAAATTAGCATATTATAACCTTAAATTAAGGTATGTCCGCCATTTTGAATAATT